TTATCTATAAATATCCCTGACATGGTTTTTTCTCTCAATTATATTATAAGATTGTGGTTTTAAAAGCGATGAGTAGAAAACAGATTTCATTGTGGGGACAGTGGGACACTAATTAAATCTTTAAATACATTTATTACCAAATTTTTATTGGATGCACTTTTTTTTGTTGACCAAGGCTAAAACTGTATGCACTTGCATGGACTTTACGTAATTACCTTAACTGGAAATTGACTAGAGATCCACCCCCGTATATATAAGCACACCATTGTTATAAATCAGCAAATCTTATTTTTAAAAGACAGAGTATCCCTAACCAAAAGAAAAAAAGATACATCGATTCATTAAAACGATGAATCATCTCTTATGCATTTTGTTTGTCATGGTACTATGTGTTGAGTTGGGTAACGCAAAGCCATTTGCGCCAAACCGCTTATATTTTAAGAACTCTCTTGGTCCAACAAACGATCTCAAAATTAATTGTACCTTCAACAAAAGAGATTTAGGCATCTTTTTTGTGAAACCAGGAAACACCGAGGAATTTAGGTTTCATGGTACATACAGTTTGAAGAACATAATTGATTGTAGCTTATACCAGAAACCTGGACCTCATGCAATGATTAGAGCGTATGAAGGTAGTAGTGGCGCATTTGATCATGGTAAAAGAAACTATTGGGATGCTAGAGAAGATGGGATTTACTTCACACATGGTAAAGAGGTGCCTAAGTTAGAGTATAAATGGATCTAAGATGTTTTTAATAATGAATATGAAAATCTTTTGTTACTCATATGAAGTGAAATTTATTTATGTTTATTTTAACCACAATTCTATACCTTATATTAGAATGGATACCTATTGAATAAAGATTGCATTCTCAGTATAGTCTACGTAACTAGATATGGGTTGGATTTTTTTGGTCGAAAAAAGAAGACTTCAAATATACAATTATCATAAAATATGAAGAAAATAATTTTTGTGAGCAAATTAAGATGTGATAGAAAGTATTATTATTTTAAAAATTCAAATGAAGTGGAATTAGATCATCCTTGATTTGTTACATTTTGACTGCACTTTCCTATCTTCTATTTCTGGGATGTTTACCGATTGTAGAGCCGTATGAAATTGTTTGTACCCTCTTTTCAATTATTAGTAGTATCCTTAAAATCTTTTGTGTATAGTAAAAATATTTTTATTGATAGTTTTTTTTCTTTGTTTTATTAATTAATAGTTATAAGCTTCAATTTATGATATAAGATCCAAACGTGAGGCTTCTAAGGAAGTGTTGGATCGAACAAGTTGGCCTCCGCTTTCTTTTGTCGAATTGGATAATGGACGTGATGGTGGAACAATGGCACTAGATGATTAAAAAGGTCTCTAATACTGTAAATATGTTATGATCTAGAGGAAATCAGCACGCAAAAGGGCTTTGTGACAAAAACGGCTGTTCTTTGTTGATAATATGGTAAAAATTGTGTATACAATGCTGCAAAAAGCTTATAAATATGTTTGACAGCCTTGATATTCTAGGGTTAAAAAACTAACAGAACAAGAAAGTATAAGATACACAAAAATAATAGACTATACTGTTTTAATCAAAAACGAAGATAAACAAAAGGAAATTTTTTGCAGCCTTTAGTCTTCTAGACTCTCTGAAATATTTTAACTTACTATAAGAAAATATATCGATTTCTGACGATATTTATAATTTAGTTAAAAACAGTGTTTTGACTATATTTCGACCTAGAGTTATCCAAATCATAGTGGAAAACGGTTTTTAGTCAAAATTGTTCAAAAAATTTAGACCAACTAATTTAGTCAAAAATCTATGACCAACTAGTTTGGTCAAAATTTTATTTATGACCATTTAAATTGGTTAAAAAATTTATGATTTAATTAATTTTTGACCTATATTTAACTGTTTCAGTAAAAAGTCACAAAATAATCAAAAAGCTTTCATAAAATATCAACTATATATTTTGGTTCGACCAACTGTCGACCCATTCATTATCAATCTTTTATTAGTCAAAAATATGTAGATATAGTTTTTGAACAAAAAAAGGTCAAAATTTGACATGTTTTTTTTGTAGGGTTTAGAGTTTCTACCTTCTCCTGTTATACCTGTAGATATAACATACAAGGAAAGTATCTTGTTTTCACGCAAAATAGATCAGAATCGAGTTAGCTTGATCTTCTCTTCCACTGAAGGTCCGTTCTTCATGCTATCTTCAGTGATTTCTTCAGCTTACTGACTAGCTAACTCGATATGGTTGAGATATTCATTCTCCACAGAGTCATTTTTCAAATATACGTAAACTTCTTTGAATAGAAAATAGTTTACACACATTTTTAATATATAAGTATAACATATATATCCAATGTTTTTAAACCTGACCCAGAAAGCAAACCGGAATACCATCCAGATCACCGGGTTATTGGGTCGATTGGGGTCGAGTCGGGTCAATCACGTGTCATTAACTTAATAAATTTATATATAATATATTAATATAAAAATAAAAATATCCATACTTTGTTAAAAAAAATTATTTCACAAAAAAATACATATATATCAATGAGACATGATAAAAACATTGCATAAAATACAATAAAAAATTTTCAAAAGCATGACTCAACGATTAAAAGGAAATAACTATACAAATTAATTAGTTACGTAACGATATAAAGTAATGATATGAAACAATCGAAGTGAACAATTAATTATACATAAAGACAAAGAGAAATTTATAAAAAGGTTGAAGATACAATATTGTTTTAGGGTTTTTCTAGTCGAAACTTGTGAATAAAAAAAAAGTTCTAAAAATAAGTGAATAAACTATAAATTCTATGTTTCAATCCCAAAAAAATATAACATGGTATATTTTGATCTTTAAGTTACACCATAATACCCACATCCAAATCAAAATTTGTATATACGAAAGCAGATCTGCCCTATATAAAATGTAAATTTAGAGATAAAATCTTCTATTATTATTTGAGAAGGACACTTAAAAAATAACCTTTATATAATGTGTTATTAACAATTTTGCCATGCTGATGTGTCAATCTCAGAGAGCTTCTCAAGTATTTTTGAAATTAGACTCAACTTACTAGATTAATTACATCATATGTCATTAACATTAATTTGGTTAAAAATTAGTTTATATCAAATATATATTTAATACTCAAACATTTAATTTGTAAAAATATTCTCTCTCCCTTTCTATTTTTTATCAACATATTTATAATAATTTCATATATAATATTACTTATGTTACTAAACATTATTTTCTTATCTTATCTTTCTTTAATCTTAATTTTGTTAAAAATAATCATATTATTTATTTAATAATAATAAACTCTAAATTTTTTCATACATATTATCATTCATATTTTTTTATATCAAAGCGAAGTATTTTAGTCTGATGTTAGACCGGTTAGATAGAACATATAAATCTAATTTAGTAAATTTAATGTGTAATTTTATTAATATAAAAAATAATACTAAAATTAATAATAAAATCAATAATTATCTAGCATTCATGCAATTGTATTATAAAATAAAGATAATTTTGATCATTATTTATAATTGCACAATCATCATATATATTTGCAATTATAAATATCAGCTAACATTTTTATAACTGTATTTATATATATTATATTTGCATATTTGAATAAAAAAATTATGGTTAATATTTACTCCGCATATATATACTAATTAACGATTCGAATTCAAAAAATTATGACGCTTTTGTTTGGGTAG